ACACACACACACACACACACACACACACACACACACACACAGAGAGAGGAGCATCACTCACGCCATGAAGCGCTTCACAGCCACCAGTGTTTTGGGATTCTGGATCAGCTGCGGATACATGTTGGTGTAATGATCGAAAATCTGCCTGAAACACAAAACACAACAGTCACTATTATTACTCACTCATAACAAAAATACAAGTTCTACATTTTAGCTAAAATAAACCCAAATGACAACCCAAATCAAACATCATACATCCGGTTGAGAACAGTGTTGTTTTAGTATTATTTATATGCTACATTATTTTACATTATCACTATAACTATTAACTATATAATTTTTTACATTATTATATATAACATACAATATCATTTATATACTTTTTTTATATTTTCAGTTTTCATTTAAACTTTAGTTACATTTTTAGTAATTTTGCAGTGTCATTTTTTGTTTGTATTTTTAAATGTCTATAACTTTTTATTAATTTTTGTTGTGTTTTTTGTCCTTTTTTTTTTGTATTACAGCTTACGTTTTTTTTTATTTTATTCTTAGTTCTATTAATTTAGAAATGAGTAAAAAATTGTTTTAGTTTCACCTTTAATTTTATTTCGTCATTTTAGTGCTTAAGGTTATTACTATTAATCTTACTTTTCTCCACTCACATCAAACTCAAGAAAATTACTTTATAAAACTAAATTTTTGCCCAAATAAACAACATTTAGAAAAATCAATATTCATATTTTCTTAAATAATTCTAATACTGATAAACTGTGAAAACAGTCAGAATTTCACACCCAAAGTTTAATTTTAGTCATTTTCTAATGTGCCTTAGCCATTGTTATTTATTTAGTTGGTTGGATTAATTTTAGTTTTAGTTCAGTTAGTTGCCAAGGCAACATTTCTATTTTTAATTTCAACATTTACCATCTCATATTTAAGATTATTTCAGCTTCATTTGAATAAATAGCATTTTTAAAAATAGTTTTAGTTAATGATTATAACTCTGCTTGAGAAACCGGTTATTGAACAACTAAAACATGAACCCAAACCTGAATGCAATCATTAATACTCATTTCACATGCAAAAAGGCTTGCCAATCACCCGAGGGCTCATTTACATATACACAGTCATTTATTTACAGACTGACCAAGTGTGATTGTAGCAGAAACAAACTGTTTAAAGGGGTCATATGATGCGATTTCAAGTTTTCCTTTCTCTTTGGAGTGTTACACTGCCACGCCCCCCTAAAACGGCTCGTTCTAACACGCCCCCACATATCTACCTCACTATGTGGAAATATTTCAGTAATGCCACCCAAATGTGCACGCAAAGAAAGAAGGCGTGGTTTCAGTAACCGCAGTTAGTGTTGAAGCAGCATGTCAGGAAGACGCTGTGTGTTTCTAGACGAAAGCAAAAGGACTTTATTTGGCCTTCTGAAAGTAGATGCATTTAGGAATCTTTAAGATTACTTACAACAGAACAGCAATGCATTTTATGGACGACCGTTTCGTGAACCTAGGAGAGGAGGTAATTCTGACTTTGCTATGACAATCTGGCGCATCTGAATCAGCTACTGTTTTGTTATTAGTTTAAGTATTTGCTATTGACTGTTTAAATGCTGAGTTTTGCGGAGTGTGTGTGCGTGTGTGAGAGAGCGAGAGAGACCAGCTTCGTCACTGTGTCTGTCACTCGACTCTGTTCCCCTTTCGGGCTTGAACTGATGGTAAAACTAATGACATTATTTACTGTCTTTACATTTATTTTGAAAGATGAAGCTCGCGATTATGGTAAGGGGCGTTACATTTCCGACGAGTGCTTGTGGTGTTCGGCCAATCACAATGCTCTGGGTCAAGCTGGCCAATCAGAGCAGACTGCGCTTGTCGGAGGGACTTTGTAGAAAACGAAGCGTTTGAGAGAGGCGGGGCATAGAGGACCTAAGTGCACTTCACAGAAACAGGAAACGATGTTGCAGGAAATGATTTCGGAATACAAATTAGGAAACAATTGGCCTTCACAACATCTGAATGAAACGGGTTGTTCAAGGCTTGAGAAGATGAAGATGGTCTGGTGTTACAGACACTCACGACGCGGTGAGGAAACCCTCCAGATATCCTGCTATGAACATGGTGACGTCGTCCGGCTCCGCCGTCTGTCCGTATCCGGCGCGGATCTCCAGCACGCCCCATCCCGTCGACGTCAGCGTGTCATTATAGTAACCGTACGCGTCGCCCTGCGGGTCCAGGACACCCTCCTTCAGCAGAACGGCCTTATGGGTCGAGTCCCAGTATGCTGTGGCCTTCAGCAGCTCTGGATTAAACACACACAGAAACACACAACATTATATGAAAATGAAGCACAGAAATAATGTTATGATTCGTATGACTCATGTGGGCGTCTGCTACTTCCTTAAAAATACTTTATGCCATTTAAACCACAAGAGGAACTCTTTTTCAGGATGTGAAATGAGAAATTAATACTTATTTGCAGACAACCTTTTAGCTAAGAAAATGAATCTACATTTATTAAGTGAATTTTAAATAAAAAAGTTATAAAATAATAAAACACACTTAGTCGGTTTTCAATTAAAGATAATGTGCCTGAAACAACACTGAACATTTTATCTTAATTTCTGAAAAATCTCAACAATGAACAGTACACGTGTTACAGTATTTATTCATCTTTGGTAACAATTTAATGAAGTGTTCACTGTTAGTTCATGTCAGCTCAGATCAATTAATATTAACAGTGTTGGGGGTAGTAACGCATTACAAGTAACGTGAGTTACGTAATCAGATTACTTTTTTCAAGTAACAAGTAAAGTAACACATTACTTTTTAATTTACAAGAGAATATCGGAGTTACTTTTTCAAATAAGTAACGCAAGTTACTTTTTTTTTTCAATTTATTGATTGACAGCTCTCCTGTCCCCATGTTGAGAGAAATCAGAAGATGTTACTGTAGTTCTAAAATAAATATGAATATGCATTAATTCATCTCTCTCACAAAAAAATTAAAAAACACAGATTCAGTATTCCTCAAAATGAATCAAAATAATGCAACTCAGAATATGACGCAAACCTGCAATAATTAAATGTTAAACAACACAAATACCCTTTATGTATTTAATCCCATTCTATTAACCAATGTATTTACTTCAATCATACTAATAAGCACAAACATTTGTGTGTCTTTTTTACTGCTGAAGTGTGTTGAAATGTCTTCTTCTGCGTTCTACTGTACGGACGTAAATGTACTTTCCCTTCAGCCTGAGGCTTATTCATTTCACTTCTGGTGTGAAAAGGCTTTTATATTTGCCAAAAATAGGCCAATTTTAAAAACAAACAAACAAGCCCTGTCCAGATTTAAAAAGTAGCGCAAAAGTAACGTAACGCATTACTTTCCATAAAAAAGTAACTAAGTATCGTAATTAGTTACTTTTTTTAATGGAGTAACGCAATATTGTAATGCATTACTTTTTTTAAAGTAACTTTCCCCAACACTGCATATTAACAGACACTAAAAGAATTTGAATAATGTATCAGTGAATGCTGAAATGAAAAGAATTAGAAGTATTCTTCATTGTTAGTTCATGTTTACTAATGTAGCTACTTAATGTTAACGAATTAACCGTATTGTTAAGGTGCAAACATTTGCACACTAAAGTTTTCTCCATTTGTCTTACTTAAAACTAATACTTCAAATAAATCTTACTTTAATAATGAAAGTTAATAAGTAAAAGTTGCTTTGGACAAAAGTGCTTGCAAATGCCCAAATGTAAATATACATCTTACAAGTTCCAAACTCACTCATTCATTGATTTATGCAATTCCTTTGACAATTTTATTTGACTGTTTTTGTGCATTGCTATTCTAGCAACAACTTTCAGTGGGAAAATATTATATTTCCATACAACTTGATATCTTTGTCAAGTAACCATATAGTAACGGCAGTCCCATATCAGCTTTCAGATTGAGTTTTATATGATCATGTGCTTCTCCAGTATGATCATTTGCACAGAACATATGGTCATTTAAACATATAAAACAATCACTTCACGATATAACAACACAAGCTTTATGAAAGTCGAGCTTAAATTGCTTACTGTCGCTTCTCGCTGATGCAGCAACACAGGCGAGAATTAAAACACAAACGCTGCTGTTCTTCATGTTTGTGTCGACGTTTAGTCACGCGCAGCGCAGAAACTGAAAATAAAGTGGGGAGTGTGTCAGCAAAGAGCTTCCTTGTGACAAAACGACATGAATAAATCCTCACGGATACACACGAGATAACGTGAAACTACGTTTATAAGACGCGACTGACACACACTGCATAAACACCGACAGACATCGAAGTAAGAAAAACAAGTTCACCCCAGATGGGACTCGAACCCACAATCCCTGGCTTAGGAGGCCAGTGCCTTATCCATTAGGCCACTGGGGCAGATGATACATGATCTGAGGCGGAGACACTTATAAAGGCGTCCAATCCGACTCCAGCGAGGCATCATGTGACCTCTCGACGCTAGTAAAATCTTCAAGTTTAACTGAAATTCATTTGTCGTTATAACAAATTACGGTATTAAACTACCAATATGCTAGTTGAAAATAAACAGTGTGAAAGAACACTTTTTGGAAGTTAAGACGCCGTTTTTATAATGATTATACTTCTGAGTTTTCATAGCACTAAATGTTGAAAGAGAATCTGAACTAGAGAACAACTGAATTTACATGAGGTAAATGAAAAGTAAACTAGTTAAACCCTTAAAACAAGTTATTTTAGAAGGACTAAATTGGTTGAATTTTCTTTTATTTAAATATAAAACAAATCAAAGCCTGATAATTAAAAACAAAACAAAAAAAACATGTACAGCTCATTTGGCTCATGAAGGGTGTTACACACATTTTAACCCATTAGTAATATAACCAATAATATTAATAAGTTGTAAAAGTTTTAATCAAACAATAATTAGCAAGTCGAAACCGGTTTAAAAACTCTAATTGTAGTTTATTAGTGCATTTTCAAACCCAAAGTTGTGCATTTGAATTATTAAACCTCCGATTCAGACACTTTAAAGAGGTTAATCCATTTTAAAAAGCCAGAAGTCGGTTCTGAGCTTCTGCTCATCATGCCAACATGAATCACTCAGAGATGGAAAACACCACAGGTATTGCTGAAACGCAGACGTTTAATGAGGAAGCCCATAAAACAAGTTTGATTCACAGTTTTACTCACACGCAGCAGGTTTCTTCTTCATCAAACTCTTTTTTTAACCTTCAGACATTTCATCTTTCTAGGACGTACATAAACCACATTTACACAGCTGAGTTAAATTAAATAACCCCAAACACCCCCCCCAAAAAACTAAACGACAACAGTGAAATGTTCAGATCACTGGAACTTAAAGAGCAGGTCATATGGGTTTTTGAAAAATAGCTCTTTTGCAGTTTATAACGTAGCTATCCTTAAATGAAAACAATCTGCAACGTTGTTAATCAAAAAAAAAAAAAGTGCATGATAAATAAAGATATTGTCTCTCAAAAGAGAGAGTCGATTCTGGATCGCCTTAACGAGTCGTCATATTTTCGAATCTTCTGCCTGTTACCGATATACGTCACTGGGTAACACACTTGCATAATCCCCGCCTGCCCGCGAAATACGAACAGAGTCTGACCTGCCCACAAACACTTCCGCTAGTTAGTGTGTTTACATCATTACCACAGAAATACAATCCGAACCTTTTGTTGTGTGCATGTCATTTTACCAAGTACTGCTTCTCTAAATTTGGCTTTTATCTTCGTTGGCTTCTTCTATCTTCTTAATTTGGGCTAACAAGCTCTCCGAAGCACAACCTGTAAGTACGATTGATACGTTATGTGTACATTTTCAATCGAGTGCTCAAAATCTCAACACCTAGTGCAGCTTTAGGTTTCCAGGTAAAGCCCGATAGTCTTACTGAAGTAGTTCTGATAATTCGCTGTGAACCCACTATTTCCTCTTAATGTAGACTGACGTTGTTCTTATTACTTCGTTTAATAATAAAGAATGTAGTGTAGCACACAGACTTTATAATCATTGTGAAATTGCTGTTTATTTTGCAGCACCGGCAGTTACAGGGTTATTTTGTATTTTATGTCATTATTATAAGAACGGATTGGAGCACTATATTATTGTTTTATGTAAAGGTGCTTTGTCAATGGTAGCGCTCGCTAACTTGCTCAAGGACTCCTCTCTGTGCCAATCACAGCAGGCTTTGCCAGCTGACCAATCAGAGCAGAGTAGGCTTACGGAAGGGAGGGGTTTGCTCCGAACTTGCTTGGAACGAATCGTTTCGAAATCATTGCCAAATGACACTAATATTAAATGTATATTCTGAGAAAATTACAATGTTTTCTGACTTTAGATGCATTTAAACCTGTTGTAGGGGACTCCAACACAATATTAGGACACTTTAAAAAAAAAAAACATATGACCTGCTCTTTAAAGACATTCATCCAGTGTTTCAAAGGCAGAAAAGAGAAAAACTCACAAGTTGTGCAAAACCACAGACAACTCAACTTCAGGTCCCGTTCATTTGAAATGTTTTGAAACAAAGAGTACAAAGACTCCAAAACAAAGAATGTTTGATTAAAAGTTTCAATTCTGTCACCATAGCAACCAAAGGTAACATTCTATTCTGTAGTATGTAACATGGCAACCAGTGATTCCGTTTCTGTCTGACCAGTGATTTGAAAATGTAGTTTATCAATATAGAAATTTTATATTAGATATCATATATAAATATGTAATATATAATGCTTTTATTCATATTATTTATCAATCATCTTACATTGAACATACTCTCTCAATCTGTAGTTCTTTCTGTCACAATGAGATCGTTCACTTTCCCTTCATTGATTTCTTTATTATTTCATCTGATAATTCATTCGTTCGCTCGCTCACTCACTCGTCGTCGATGAGTTTCTCGGCTCCGTTCTCAGTCTGCGGAGCGTCGTCCTCTCCTCCTCTGCTCGTCTCTTCCTCCTCCTCCTCCTCCTCGTATGAGAGACTCTGTGCGCTGTAGTTGATCATGGTTCGGGACAGATCCACCTCGATGGGGAACACGTCGGCCTCTTTCAGCACGGCATAGCAGTCGTCGTAATAGCGCGACATCCCTGAGACGAAGCGCTGCAGCTGGAACACGATATCCTGGACTGAAGAGAGAATGGAAAGGGTTAAACCGCTGTAAAACAGATCATGTGATGCATTCTGATGCATTTGTTTTTAACTGAACAAACCATGTTTCTGGTCCAGGAGTTCGATTTTCTCCAGAACATCTTTGCGCATCTTGGCGAATCGTGCGCGAGCTTCCTGTCGACAGCGCAGAATTAAACGGTATTCGTAGTTACCGGTGCTGACGCGGTACAACGGGTCTCCTAACGCCTGAAACACATGCAAACACAGAGGGTTAAATAAGCAAGTAAGCATTTTTTTAAAATCCCAGTTTATACCATTTCTTTGCTCATTTTCACATAATTAATAGTAATATGTATAGCAAAGCCTGGCTTTAGTTACTATACAACAACATATCAAACATGTAATGTGCAATATTACGTAACATGCATTTATGTATAAAAAGGGTTCATGCATTTTAATTTTCATACACTAGTCTGCATGCTTTCTGCATAATTATTTGCAAATGATTTACAGTCTTAAACAGTAATTATTTTTGTATACAACATATTTATACAAATTGGGGTTAAATGTGGATATATCAAGCCCTACATCTGAATCTTGTTAAAACTTTGCACTTTTTCATGATTGGCAGAAATAAAATTGTGCTGAATCATAATTATTTAAAATAATCTGGCACACTGGCAATACTATCTAACAACAATACAGAAAATATTGCATATCTTGCAATGCATTTGAATAATTTAATATTTATTTTACTATTTAAAATAAGTGAGTGTATCATTTATTTATAAGACCATACTTTTCACTATTTTTTTTACATTTCTTTTAAAATTTCCTCATATTTATCAGTAATATAAAATGTGTGTATCTTTTGCAATTTGGCATCAGTTAGCAATAATACAGAATTAAAAAAAAACACTGCATATTAAATTGTAAATCTAAACAGCAGGATGCATTTGAATGTCTCTATAGCAGAATTTTTGACATTTAAAAAATATTCCTGATCAGCGTGAAGGACTGTATCAGGGTCAAAGTTCAACACTGAACTGGATCCTCCACTTCCAAAACACTCTTTACAATCAGTAAACAGGTTACAGAGGTTTAAACAGTAACAATGTATTAAAGGATTAGTTCACCCAAAAATGGAGATTAGCCCATAAATTACTCACCCTGAAGTCATCCTAGGTGTGGTGTATATGACTTTCTTCTTTCAGATGAACCCAGTCGGAGTTATATAAAAAATGGTCTTTGATCTTTCAAGCCATTTAATGCCACTCAGCGGGTGTTGCATGCATCAGTCCAAAAGAAGTGAAATAAAAAGCGCCCATCCATAAAAAAAAGTGTCTCACACAGCTCTGGGGGGTGAACAAAGGCCTCCTGTAGCGAATCGATGCATTTTTGTAAGAAAAATATCCATATTCAAAACGTAATAATCACTTTAATGTAGCTTGCACCAACAGTTGTACACGGAAGCAGTTCCGGGCGGATGACGTATGAGGTATTTTTCTTACAAAAACGCATCGATTCGCTATAGAAGGCCTTTATTCACCCCCCGGAGCCATGTGAGACACTTTTTTTTTATGGATGGTGCTTTTTATTTAAAGGGTCATATGATGCGATTTCAAATTTTCCTTTCTCTTTGGAGTGTTACAAGCTCTTGGTGCATAAAGAAGATCTGTAAAGTTGCAAAGACTAAAGTCTCAAATCCAAAGAGATATTCTTTATAAAAGTTAAGAGTCAGCCACACCTACCTAAAACGGCTCGTTCTAACACGCCCCCACATGTCTACATCACGATGTGGGAAGATTTGCATAACGCCGCCCAAATGTTTACGCAAAGAAAGAAGGCGTAACTTTTACTCTCACTGTAGTATTGTTGCCACCGCTGCCATGTTGTGGAGTCGCTGTGTGTTTCGTTGTGAAAGCGAAACTACTTTGTATGGACTTCCAAAAGAGGACAAGACTAGAAATCAGTGGTTAAGTTGCATTTACAACACTGTTCCAGTACAGTTCAACCCAAATATTCAGATGTGTGCAGACTGTTTCCTGATCCTGGTAGAGTAGACTACAATGCAGGCTGATCTGACTCACGGACTGTAAGTACGTTTTATTTAAAGAGTTTTTATATTTTTTATAATTAAAACGAGTTTTTTGGGCAGTGTAGAGTATGGCTTGTTGTTTGTCATTTCTCCAATCACAAATGCAGACATGGTTTTATGTTTACGCGGC